AAGTGCGGCGTGCACAACGTGTCGATCCTCGCCGGCGGGGTCGCGGGGATCCGGCGGGAGGCGCCGTGGCTGATGGTTCGCTCGAAGGTCGACTAGGGACGCACACAACGGGTCGCGTGCGGAAAAAAAAAACCCCACATGGGTGAGGCCAACGCGTTGGCGGGTAGGTCCTTGTTGAATTCGACACATCTCTATACATATATATCGATATCGATATATATGTATGGGGTAGCACACTTTCGCTTCGCTTCGCTGCTGGCTTAGATGCCGTATTTCCTATTGCTGATTTAGTATTAGAAGTTTATTTATATCAATTTCGCCATTTTTTTTCACTATTATATTAGTCGTTTTTGTGAAAATGTGGTATCCCCATACACGCTACTGATCCAAAAGCATCAACGGAGTGCTGGTTTCCATCTAATAGAACTACTATCATTATCATGCGTCTATAGTCTTTTGCTTTACATTCTTTGATTCTCCGTAGTACTGATAGGTATTAGAAATATTTATCTATTTATTCATTGGCGTGTTCTATTTTGATATCGGCACAATAACCTAATGGGAAATTATATTGTCTACAAGTTGGCAGTCAAACAAGAGAAAAGGGTTATTGAATTCGTCAAGGAGTGAACGATTTCGATAAAGAGCCCTATTTATGTAAAAAAAAAAAAAAAACAACTCCATCACCCCCTTCGGTTTCCTATACTCCTAAATAGAAAAGTATTAATAGCTATGTTTTTTATTTGCCTTCGAAAAGAGAACAACGATCTCATCACGCGCTGCGTGCTGGCGGCGAAAGCGACGATAGCGGATCTCTTAGACATCGCCCGCGCGCAGCTGAACATCCACGCCACGGTGGGCATTGAACTTCGCTGCCGCGGGGCGCGATGGACGGCGGCCTCGCACGGGAATCGCCAACTCGGCATGTTGGGGCTGCCCACGACGGGCACCGCGGAGGATCCGCTGGAGGTGATGGCCCTTCCGATGCCGCCCCCCGAGGCCCTGGCCCTCGCGCCGGGGCTGCCCATCGAGGAGGCGAACCGGCGCATTCACGAGCTGTTCGCGCGCGCCTCGCCGACCCGCAACCCACAGCAGCAGGAGCTCGACGAGACCCTGGCGAAGATGATCGAGTTCGCGCCGGAGCACCTGATCCCTGTCGAGATGCTTTTTATTCGATGCAACATCAACGACGTCCCGCTGATCGCCTTTGTGGATACCGGCGCGGCGGTGAGCATCCTGAAGACGGCCGCCGCGGAGAAGTGCGAGCTCATGCACCTGCTCGACCGCCGCTTTTCCGGGATGGTCCAGGGCGTTGGTACGCAAAAGTGCCTCGGCGCGATGCACATGGTCCCGGTCAACGTGAGCGGCCTCTTCATTCCCTTCTCCTTTCGCATACTAGACGAGATGATGTTCGACATCATCATCGGGTTGGATCAGCTTCGAAGCCATCAGGCGGGGATCGACCTCCAGAAGGGCGTGCTGCGGCTGAGCGCCCATGAGATCCCTTTCCTGCATGAATGGGAGGTCTCGCAGCTCAACGCACCGAAACAGAGCGCCCACGCCTCGCCGGACGGAATTCCCGACAGGACGGATGAAAAAAAAGCCCCCCCACAGCCAAACTACCCAGAAAACGCGACCACCGCTGGCGAGGACGAAAAACGGGAATCCACAACGGCCTCCGGGGGACCAGGGACGCACGAACCCCAACAAATCCACCCGGGCCTTTGCGAGGACCATCCGAACCAGTTCGAATCGCGCGAGGCGAAGGCGGAGCGGCCGAACCCTCCTGCGGGACTCAACAACGGCGGCGAGGAGGTCTTCGCGCCCGCGCCCCGCTCGTACACCCCCTTCCAACAGGATATGGCCCAAAAGCTGATGGAATTCACCGGGTTATTGAACTTGGACAAGGCGTACGAGCTGCTGGGTGCCACGGAGTGGGATTTGGACGCCGCCGCCGCGATGAGCTACGAAAGTGAAGGGGGGGAATCCTAGACGAAGCCCCTCCTCCCCTCCCCCCCGCGATAGGAGGATGCGGATCTAATAAACCTAACACACTGTGTGGATGTATAGTTTGCGTTAAAAAATATTCGAAATAAAACTGGAGCTACCTATTCTGTGCGCGCATTTATTTTAATGAAAAGGTGATAGCTCTGGAGATTAGTTTTTGAACTGACTAAAGTGCTGACTTCTTTTTTTTTTTTCAATAGTGTCCAAGGGGAAGGATGGTTTTTCATACCAATTCCACACCATACAGCACCCTTCCTGACCACCTATCCCACTGTTTCCCCCTCCCTCTCTTTTTCAGATCTCTTTGTCACACCAAGAGGGTAATCTCAATATTTTTGCACATCGCGACAGGAAACTAGAACCTTCCTTCCATAGATCTCTATCTATTTATATCGATAGATAGAGATAAGTCGATCCCGTTAGGTAAATCGATCGAGACCGAGCGCGAATCACCACGGGCCTCGCGCTATCGCG